TTAACCCATGTTCATATAAATGAACTCAGTGTGTGGCCTCCAGACTGCTAACATATTTAACATATCTGGAGAGACGACAGATGAACTACGAGCTAGGCAAAACTGCATTTCTCCGCCTGTACGTGATGGACCTTCTCTAGATGTTTTGATAGATTGTTCGTGTTTCTGCCCTGACATGCAAAAGACTTGTTGCACTTGTGGCAGTGAGCACTGTCAGCATCGACTCCAGGGAAATGTAACCACACTTTTGCATGTTTAGTTCTCGCCGCATTGTGTGTGTGTGTGTGTGTGTGTGTGTGTGTGTGTGTGTGTGTGTGTGTGTGTGAATGGTGAAAATGCATCATAAATGAATGTCTTAATCAGAAACAGAGTTACTGGGATAAAATGTTGAGGATGACTTTTATGTGGAAATAATAAGGAAGAAATCTATTTTCTTAATTTCTCCAATACCATGAGTAGAACCAATAATGTTGGAGCATATCGATAATTTCAATAATTTAGCCCTAGAGCCTGTTTAACACCATTTAAAACCACCCCTACTCTAATGCAAATGTCAACTTGACATATACAATACTGACGACGGCTGGTCTCGACGGTTCTCATACATCTCAACATTCTAGACAGCACTCAATGACATTTAGCCAACGCCGGATTTTGACGTCAATCCAATTTTCATTTCCGACCAAAATTTAACATCTCCCCGACGTTAGAGTCGTTAGAGTCCAACGTATTTCTAACGTTACACTAATGTACCTGCTGGGTTGGAGCAAACATCCCATCGGTGTCTTGTTGGAAAAAACTAGAGCTGAGACACCAGAAGCTGCGGCGTCTACTCTCTCCTGGTGTACTTCACACAGAGTTTAAGAAACCAGAAATCTGTAACGTAAGCATCGGAACATAACTGAAGGCTCGTTGAGACCTACAAAGACTGGACAAACCACACATAAAGACCGTTTCCACCTTTCACAGTCAGGAAGGTGAACCTTATGAATGACTAAATGAAGTAGACAACACAGAGTTTGGGTGGGCTCATAGATGTAGAGATGTGGACAACAAAGAGGTTACAGGTGAAGCTCTTGAACTTTTCAGTTCAACCAGTTAGACTTTGCCATGACCTCTGTGAGCCAATCATCTCATTGTTGTCAAATGAGTCTCCCTTTCTCTGCTGCTTTCTGTTTTTTTTTTAAGAGTCAGATCGATGCAAAACTGCCTTCACCCTATTACCTCCAGTGTCCATCAGTACCAGCCGTCCACCTGATCCTTCTGCTGAGCTTAGCAACAATCCCGCTCAACGTCACATCCATACAGATCTTCAGCCCGTCTGTTTTTTTCTCTCTCTCTTTCTCTCTCTCTCTCTCTCTCACCACCACCAGTGTCTAGACTCCACTGGAGGATTTCTGTATGACTCATGCCGTGACTATCCCTGTTAAATGATAGCTAAATAATAATAATCACCAAAGACTCCTCTCATATCCCTTTAATTTTTCCTGTTGAATACACGATGCCAAATAAATTCATTCAATAGCTCTTTAAACCCTTCTTTCATTTTGTCTGTCCCGATTGAAATGATGTCACCACACACGCATGAAAACACACATGAAGTCTCGCAACAACATGACCAGTAATTGGTGAAGTCTTTCCCACAAGCCCTGCGAAAGGTAGGGAGAAATTTTAATATGCCGTTGCAGGATGGTGATAGCTTGAATAGATTAGAGCCATTTTATAGGCTGTTCAAGTCCCTCAACAATTACCATTAAAGTGCTCTCATGCAGGGCACTGCTCCTCACCCCACAACTGTTCCAGAGGAGCAGGAGCTGTGAAGCTGGGCGGCTCGTGAGGTGTGAGAGTGCGAATCGCCCAGGGAGGACAAGCTGTGTTCATTCTGCACGCTAAATGAGCTGGAAATAGTGTTACACTTCTTCATCTCATGCCAAAAAACTGACTTTTCAAGAGATTTTTTTTTTCGAAACAATTATCCAAACATATCAAGTCCTGAAAAGCAAGACCTCAAGACAGACTGACCTCCTGAATAAAATGCCAAAATGCAAAATATCAGCAGCATTTCTTCCGAAGTTTGAGCACAGACAGTGGTTACAAAGATTCCTTACTGATGTCTTTTTATCCTGGGCTGTTGTGCATTATCATCTCTTTAAAGTATCATTAAGTTCACATGCCTATATGTACAATATAGTCTCTTCGTCATATTAAGACAATAATCAAGTAAAGCACCTTTTGAGTCTGATTGAAATTGAATGTGTGTGACCCTCTCTCCACCTACAAGCACTCCCTCAGTAAATTGGCCACTTCATTTATTACGTGATGTTCTTAGCCTTGTTAAATCAAGATTATCTTAATGGAGATACAGTATGGCTACGACCTCTAATGTACTGTAGCCTTTCTATTATTATGATTTCTTCATGCCAGCTCGCCACTGATACAGTAATAATCCCCATCACGGTCTTAAGGTAGTAATGTACACATAATAGCACTGCTTAATACTGGTGATACAGGTGATACAGTCAGGATATAAGTGATTATCTGGAGAAGCAATTACAAAGCACATGCTTATTATTAACATAATGGAGAACCTCTATTATTAACCTGTTTGCTTTCTTGCAGTAAGAACTGCAAAGACTTTGGTTTATTTCACTTGGAGAAAAAAATATTAACAGGCAGCATCAGTGCATGCAAAGTCAAACATGGAGTGTATGAATAATGTGTGATGGAAACACGTGTTAACTGAATAAATGCTTGAGTTATAATTTCTCAACTTGGGTGAGAAATTCATCTAATGCAGTGAAGCCAGTGAGCTTTAGCGGGACTCCATCCTCACAGCTAGCTGGTTTGACCATTGTGAGGTTCCTCTGATCTCACATACACAATGTCATTTGCTTAAAAAAAAAAAAAAAAGGACTTGATTGAGATGTCAAACAAATCCACTGTTAATAACAGCTGAGACTCTCCCGCTGTCCAGGATTTAGGTTCAATAGCTTTTTATAGAATCTGAATCCCTCATTCTGTCTGTTCTCCAGGACTTTAGTTTTCCCTCTTGCTGTGAGGAGCTGCTGAAATGAGTCTAACATGTTGTACAGTATATAGTATTAATTCTACTCTATCATTTAACGTCTACTTAATAATTGCTGGTTAATCTTCGTAGCACTATGCTGCACTTGAAGATGAACCAGTTGCACTGGCACGTGCAGCTTAAGTTGAGTAACTTGAAAATGATTCGATGGTTTCCAGATAAATGTTTAAGCAGGTGGCTTGTAATCATTCCTGTCTATTGCTCCTGTTTTTACATGGCAGTACGTATTCGTATTTGATATTTAGCTTAACGCTGACCTGATCCGTTTGTTAACTGGTTGCTGCCAAAAAGAAAGACCTAGAAAGACTTTTAGCCTCACACGAAGATCTTAACAAACTTCCACATTTTACCAACTTGGACCCAAAAACAAAACTGAACTTCGTTAGAGTCCAACCATGACCATAATGGCTCCTACTTGTGCCAAGAGATATCACTAAATATATCTTCATGCTGTTGCAGAGCATGGCAACGGCTGATACGCCGCCTTAACAAACACAAGAAGGCTGAGTATATTTTAGAGAAAGTCTGTTTCAACTGAGATGCCAAAAGAATTTCACACAAAAGCAAGACAAAATGCCACATTTGTGTAGAATGAAACATTTCATTTTGGTCACAAATTTCATGGCAAAAACCCAAAATTAAAATAGTGAAGAGGACAGATAGAAGCTTCCTTTCTTACATACTAAACTAAACTAAGACTCTTACTTGAGATTAGGCAACGATGAGAAGCTTTAGAGTGCACCACACGCCAACACATCATCTCATACTTACTGTGAAAAGCCAAATCCATCATACTGGGAGTTTCATGCTCGTACAGTTTGTGCTACTCAAAGACACAGTGTGAGAATCCAGCTTCAACATATTTTTGTTTGTATATCTTTTTTTCTTTGTTTGTTTGTTTTTTTTCTGCCCATCTGCGGTATCGTCCTCCCCATGATACAGCTGACCTCGCTCATCTTCTAGAAATACATACATACATGCACGCATGCTACATACAGCCTGGAGCCAGAACTAAGTGCTACAATTTGCGATCAAAAACCGCAGAGACGTGACACCATCTCACCAGAGAAGAAGAAGATGGGGGGAAAATGAAATAAGCCAGCAGACTGAAAGATAAACACACACCCACTGATACACACACTAACACGCACAGACAGCGAACTCACTCACACACGCACACTGATGAATTCGGCGGACTGCACACTGAATAGCTAGAGGGTGGAAACTGTTCAGATGTTGCAGAGACTGGCCACTTCGGTGAGAGGTGAGCCGAGTGTGTTGCCTGCAGAGCGCCTCTCATCTGTTTGACGTGGTATTTGTCATTTGGGACAGCCACAACCGGAGCCGTGGTGAGCCTGCAGCTGATATAATGTGACGGTTATGCAAGGCCATCTTATCCATCACAGGGGAGTGGCCCACATTCTCTGACTCCCAAATTACCGTCCTATTTGCGGGGCCATACCCTCGCTACAACCCCACCTATCACCAGCTGATCTATGGTGTGCCAACAAAGCCAAACAAGGTGTCATCTTGCCGAGACAAATAGGCAACAAGAGACTTAAGGGCAGGTGGTAATCCTTCTCACATGCTTCAACTGTGCGATGTCGGAAAATTCGTTTTATTGTGCCCACGAGCCACTGTACAAGTTGTACTCCCAGTCTCATATTTTATTCTTTCTCAAATGCTGTTAGAACATCTTCTGTCCTTCTTCTCTCATGCATGCATTTGAACAGAGTGTCAAGAAATACAAGTGTGTGTGGCCTTTACAAAAAAAACCCAGCTAAGAGTGAAAAAGAGAAACGCCATTCCCTGACCTCAGGCCAGATCCGCTGGATTTCACCAACAGAGGTGAGCAAAAGAGCAGCAATAGCATATTTTAGAGAGTTTCACGCTATTTATTAACTTGTGCCCTTACCTTGCTGAGCTGACTGGCCGGTGAGCCGCTGTTGTTGACAGTGTGGCATTTGAAGTTGAGCCAAGATTCCCCCACGGCATCACGTTCTCTGCTAGCGCCCTTGTCAGTGTGGTAGTGGCTGTCAGGGACGGGGGAGGGGGCAGATGAGGGGGGCCGTTGGAGTGCCGTGCAGGACAGGCCGAGGAAGTTAGATGGCCGGATCAAAAAGGCCTCCAGGGCTATGTTAGCAGACACCTGATGGAGGGAGGCCAAGGATTAGGAGTGGGGGACAGAGTGGCGGAAGAGAGGGGAGGGCAGAGATTTTTATATTAGTCATTTAGCAGATGCTTTTATCCCAAGTGACAGCAGGAGGGAAAAAAATAGACGGAAGCGAGAAGAAACAAAGAGAGGAAGCAATTTATCTTTCTCTAGCCTCATTCGAGCTATCTGCTCGAGCCAAATTAACTGCTCATTATTCTAAACCTCAAGAAAAGAGGTAAAGCTACGGGACGTTTAGTCAGATAATCAACCTCTGCCCTGATGACTGTGGCTGAGTGTGGGTGTTACTGTATGCAGGGCTTAAAGTCAAAAGAATTCCTGAGCCTGAAATGTTGTTGTTATTTTGTATTTTTGTTTTTTTTTTTTAACAGTGCAACAGCTATAAAGTGCGAGCAACTTCTGGACAATTATAATTTGGAAAAAAAGATTTGCACATACACATATAACATTTTTCTCTATTCTCTATAAAAGTATGTGCAATGTAAAATACAACTGTAAACAATACTGCAACACTATAGCAACATTTAAATGTTTCCTTCTGAAAAACAGATAATAATGGGAAATAAATAAATATTGAAGATAAAAAAAAATTCAGTAACACTGAAGTGCTTAAAGAACTGGTAAACTGAAGTCTTAAGTGAAATCAAGAAGACCACGATCACTTATTTCTTCGTTCTTTTTGGGATGTAAACAAAGAAATTGTGAAGGACAGATCATGTTCAGCAATGAATGTGCACACATGTATTTTTGATCGCAGATACGGTCAGTCATTGATGACAGAGTGTCAACCGTAACTGCCGCTCCCGGTAACGTAGTTGTATGCTGGGGTGCGCGGACAGCAGCTTTATGACCGGGGTCCAATTCATGACGAGAGAGCAACTTTTTTTTTTTTTTTACAGCTGATGGCAGACAGTAGCTTCCTCCAGCACATGGATCCTACGCTGGATCCTACACTGCCAGTGGTGCCAAGACCCGCCCCGCTCGGCTCCTGATTGGCTAGTGAAGTTGGTTAGGTTCAGTGTCTGGTTGGGTTCAGAGCAAGAACTGCTTTCCTCTCATACCATTGGTAGGTGAACTTTATTACCTCGAACATGATAAACCGTATCCACAACAAATTCCCAAGTATATTGACTTTTCATTTTTCATTTTTTTTCTTGCACAGCGTTACGCCGGAGATCCGGCACGGTACCGGAATACTTTAAGCCCTGTGTATGGTCGTCCTGCCATACCTTAGAAATGGCCTGATTGTCTCCAGTCAGTGCCAGGTCAGCGATGCGCTCCACACACTGGACGATGCGAGTGCACGCCCTGGCCTCATTCTGGGCCATCCACAGGATGTGCTCCTCCACTAGCATCATGTTGCTGGCTATGTCTGATATATAGTCCCCCAACTGTGGAAACACAAGCAGACATGTATGCAAATGGAAGCACGTTCACAATTACATATAAACTGTACGTACAAAGCCCACACACACACACATACACACACACACACTCCAAGAGGCAGACTCATCATGCACATCAATCATATCCGCAACAACAGGCGCATTTATAATCTCCAGTCGCAACTGTGAGGGAGGCAACGGTGGCTTCATTCATTATAGGGAGATTTAATTTAGATTAGCAGCTCCAATGGGGCATAATCACTTCCTTGAGATGGCAGTTTGCTATTTACTTACTGTACTTCTCATTGTTGCTTCATTTGACTGTTCTCTATGGGATGAATGAGGGTGGTCTTCCCACCATTGTCTTAGGAATGATAAAACGCAAAGTATCTCCTCATAATATCTCCTCCAGAGTGACCTATGATGACTAATTGGACAAGTGAGAGCTAATATTGATTCTTTTCACTGACTAAGCTCGACACCCTCCCCCTCCACAAAACCTGACCTTCAGCGTTACGCAAAGCCCTGCGATTGCCTCTGGCCGAAGACAGAGGAGCGGTTCACTCAAGGTAAAAACGTGGCTTGCCCAAAAAGAGATGCATCTTCATAACCATAATTGTCATTCAGAGTCCATCGCCGCCATGGGCAAGAGGAAAGCGTATGAGGTGAAAAGTTAAGCTGTCTGGAATCGATTGAAGGATTGAAGCCGGAATGACGACAGCGTGTTGCCATGTCTTTTAGGGCTCTCGCTCAAGTGTCCTTTTCTGGTTGCTCAATTAGGGCTCTTAAGAAACCCTTGCTTTCTTTAGATGAGCTGGTCAAAGGTTTCCTGATAAACCTCATCTTTTAATGCAACAGCAAAACATAGCTTTCAAAAAACTGTAAGCAAGCAAATGCATGAATACCGTAAGAATGTACTGTAATGTAAGAATGAGAGAAGTACGGGGGGGGGGGCAGTATCAGACTTCTTCAAAGGAAAGTGTTCCTTTATTTTGTCATCCTTTTTTTTATTGTGTTGTTATGTTTATGTGATGGGTTATTGTTCTTTTCCATCCAAGCCTTGTGTCAGACGTAATTGTAACCAAAAGTAATGAATCTGAGTTAAAACAGATAATACAGAGGCAATAGAGGACCACTGAAGTAAATCAAACCATAGGCATCCCATAAAACAAATAAATAAATAATAATAATACGCACAACACAAAACAGAGAAACTAAACCAATCCAAATAACTAAATCCAAAAAGTTGTGGTGTACCTGCATGATACTCGAACACAGATAGACATTAAAAAAAATGACATTACACAAATGATGGACGTACAAGTGTGATGCACCTTATCTATCTTTCCCATATTGTCATAAATTTTTTCCGTTGCAATATAATATAAAAAGTAATTCTCTGAATCCTAAAGATTTCACAAATAATATCAATCTTGGATTAAGTCCTAGATCACGTTCACATGTTATGGTGTAAACTGGCTGTGGTGCATCTCTGTGTATTCACTCTTACATCTCTGCGCTTCTCCACCAGCCTCGTCAGTCTCTCCACCAGGTGTGTGACAAAGATGACGTCCATGACGTCGGTGAAGTGCGCCGCCCTGCTGGTGAAGGCCACTAGCTGCTGGCCTAAAGGCTGAGCGTTGGTGGTGTTAATAGATATCTGGAATAAAAAAAGAAGCAATATTCAAAGAGGATGATCACACAGTCCATCAACACAACTCAACAGAGACATAACATTAAACAGCCTCGCAACATGTGATAAATAATAAATGAATGCAATGCTATTTCATGTCACACATGTAGTTTTGTGAACATGATTCCTTTAATGTGGTACAAGAATCCCATGAGCAATACAGAATGAAGTCAGCCTGTCCTCATTCACTTTTTATTATGTACTGTATATAAAGGCATACATGCACAGATCTGCAAATACCTGCAGGCTACAGATGAATCAGTACAGATGTTAGTTTCTGTATTCTAGGAATATTAAGTTATTAAATCTTGCTGTTTGTCTGTGTAGGCTGGCAAATATGTAAAAGGCAACATGTCGAACATCATGGTAAACATTCAAAATTAGTGATTTAATGACAGTGGAAAAAGACTTGTTTTCTCTGTGTGCACTGATACCTGGGTGAGCTCATGCAGCACGCGGGTCAGTTCACTGGCATACGGGCACTGGGTGTAGTCCTCCTCGGCCCAGCGTCCGGCCCGGTCGCAGCGCCGCCACGCCTTCTTCTCCCTCTGGCTGGAGGGGTTAGGAGCGCTGCCAGAGGGATGGGGGGCAGAGCCAAATGTGGCAGGAGCACAGGGCAAGAAGGCCAGGATCCCAGCGAGAGTCTTTGGCCACCTGCCACACGAGACATCTCCAAATGATCAGGACTGAGGTGAATGCAAGAATCTACACTCACCGCACCAGATGGCAATTTCATACTCCCTGTACTTAGGAAATTATCAATTTGCATATTTGATTTACAGCTAGCTCTAATTATTTTTGCAGAAGACTGCCAGATTCTGATACTTGATTGTGAAACAATGTGCTGTGTTATTAATGACTTCTGACTTAATTAACTATTTACTAACTTTATTAATCAATTTTATTGTCTTTCCACTTTGTGCACAATGAAACCAACTAACTAACTTTTTTTTTCTTCTTTTTTTTTTAATGGCAGAATGCACTTAAAGGGCAGTGTAATGTCTTCTGTGGAGGAGTAAGTAAAATAACCCAGATAACATTGTCAAGGTTATTTTGGACACGGCTTGAAGTTTACACATTACAACAGAAAGCTCTGTTACAAACTGAGGGGGCATGGAGGGTGAAAGACGATAGAAATGCATCATGTGTCGAGCTTGACCAACACTAAGGCCTAAAAGTCAGGATACCTTGACATCTGGTGTTTTGATGGTGACCATTTTCCTTTTTAATCTGCCTGGCAAGTCCCACAGGTCTATGAAAGCGCAATACTAAGTCGAATGCATACCCTTTTAATGGGCACCACAAATGCGCATGAGAATGGTGTGTATTTGAAGCAGAAACCTGATCCTTTCTCAGCCTTAAACAGTAATTACAAGAGTTGTTCATATGGCCATGCAAAGTTCAGTGAAGTCTCCTCTGAAGCAAGAAATGAGACTTCCTCAATAATGTCATCAAGAGCCAAGTCCTGGAGCTGCTCTACCGACCAACCTGTGATAGGGGCCGGGGTGATTTTAAATTTTTCATTTTATGGGTAACGCCTGTTAGTGTTTCAGTAAAATAAAGCTCGTTTGAGTGTAAAAAGTCAGCCAAACAATCACAGTCCACTACATTAGCTTCCATTTCCCTGGTAATAAAAGTACTCCCAAGTTTTGTTCCTTGGTGCTGTTGTAGATTAAAGGTCTTTTTTTCCCCTGCCTCTTGCAGCCTTAGGAAAGAGTTTCAATTTGTCTACAATCAAGAGGAAACATGTGTCTCATGTGTTCTGGTTTTCTCCTTGAGGCAACATGAAAATCTTCCTGGAGAAAGTTAGCTGGAGCAACGCTTAATGTGACAACACTCTTGACTTCCTCTAAATGAAAACAAAGGAGCAGGAGGCTGGTGGTCTGTTCCGAGGGTAGAGACCTGCCATCCCTTTGCTCCACACCCTGTCCTCTTTTCTTCCCTCTCTCTCTCTCTCTCTCTCTCTCTCTCTCTCACTTCACATTGTTGCAGCAGCAGCAGCAGCAGCTACTTAGTAATAAATGGCGTTAATTTCGCCCCCAACAAAAAAGTGGGCTCATTTTCCAGCCCATTACTCCGATGCTCCAGCAGAAACAAAGCCTCTGTGCTTGCTGCACTAGAGGTAGGCTGTAAAGTACAGCAGCTAGTAAGGAGAGTACACGACAACAGCACACCCACGGGGCAGGAGGGGTGGAGGATGTGACTGTGTGTGCAGAACTGCAAGCTTTCAAGGTGGTCACAAGGAAAAAGAGAAGTGATGGAGGGCGAGGAGATGTGTCGTCTTTGTTCTTCTTCTTATATGAATCCTCAGTCACATGAATATGTGCTCTAGTTTTTTATAGTCTTGCTGTAAAGTCGGATAACATGGAGCTGTAATGTTTGTGACAGTTTTCATAACATACGTCCAATTATTATTAAAATATATGAAGTGTCCACCACTGTGTGGTCTCAGTTCTGGTCTTTCGTGGTTAATGAGCCTGGCGCAATGCAGACCAGGTGTGGCGGATTTTTTTCAGGTTGAACAAAGACCAGTGTCAGAGTCAGACTTAAATACCTCGACTGCACTGTATGTGGAGAGATAATAGCAGAGAGTGAGCGCTCTGATTACAGTATTAATTTTTATACAGAAGACTCTGTAATTGGGAATATTTCTGTTGAATTAAATTATACCGAGGTTAAACTATTATTTTGCTGGAACCCACCTGGTATCAGCTCTGAAAACCAGTGATTACTGTCCATTAACGCTAATTACACAGGACTAAAAGGTAAATGAAGAGTAAACTTAAGATCAAAGTATCAAAACCAACATTTAGAACCTCTCAGCGACTTCATCTTGCTAATGTCGGTTAGCACTTTCCCAGTGTGTGCGTTAAAAAATACTACCTTGTGTTCAGTCACATTAGTCCACATTCACTCAAAGCAAAGAAGGTGACATGGATGACACAAGCACAAAGACTGCGCCTCAGGCTCAACCAACCTACGGTAATACGTTTTAGTTTTACAATGCATCACTTTTGCTATGTTTACATCTGGCGTCCACATTACTCCGGAGTTTTCAGGCGCCTAAAACTGAGACTTTCAGAAACGCTGCTGGACTCATTTTAGTTTGAAAACCCCTGGGTAGCATTGCAGTCTGGATGGGGAGAAACTGAGACTTTTGGGAACAATGATGCCTCGCCTGCCGATCGATTCAGTCACGAGTACCTGACAGTGGTGAGTGCAACATGGATAGCGACCAAAGGTAAAACCACCAATTCGTTTAATCACTTGGAACAGAATCACATTGCTGAATATGAGTACATGGCTCAAAAAAAGAGAGCGAGACAGATAAGCACCGAAGTAATCGTTCATTAATCATATTCGAGGTAAAAGTTTGAAATAATCATGATATTGATTTGAAGTCATACCACCAGCCCAAGTTTTTAGGAAAATTTTGTTACCCATAGCACAGTCTTTGTGTAGCTTTATTTTTACTGTATAGGCCTGAGAATCTTAGCAAATAAGCACATGTCCCAAAATGTTGAACTATTACTTTCAGCCCTGATTGACATGATAGAGCTGATATTATTTGACCACACGTGGACTAGCGGCTGTACGATGCACGGTGTGAGGTGACTCACCTGAAGTCCCCCTTGTTGTTGGTGACTCTGTCAGTGGGGCAATACGGTGCCGACGTCTCCAGAACAACTATCTCCATTTGCTGAGAAGTGTTGCCACGGGAACTGGTCACCAGGCACTCCCAGATGCCAGCGATGCCCACGTCGATGTTGGAGAGGATGACCTCGCTGGAGGAGGAGGAAAAGAGGCGTAAAACTGAACATGCGTCTGCGTGTTGGTGAACTTGTTCGTATGAGCATCAAATGTCTTTAAACGGTTTGTACAAGGCTCTGGATCAGGATGTGGCCTCAGGTTTGGGGTTGAATGTAGTTTTAGGATTAGGTTTGTGTTAGGACTTGATTTTAAAATGGTTTGGATTATTTTTTTGGATTAGTTTGAGGATTAAAGTTAGTCCTACAGCAAAAGGGTTAAGGTTAGGGCAACATCTTAAGGATTCTATCGTCAGTGGAGAAATGTGTGTGCATGTGTGTGCTTCACAAAAATCTAATTTATTCGAGAGACCCTTGTGCATGTATGAGTATGCACTGGCTTAAAATGTTGGCTGGGAGTTAAGATGATCATTACTCATGCTTATCTTTCCTACTTTGTCACAGCGATTCCTATCTCAATGGAAAATGCCTGATTAAACAAAAGATGGTGAAACAGTGACAAAGAGCCAATGCAGGCCATTTGCCAAGGCGACTTATCTTGAGGATTTTACTCCTTATGAAAAAAAGGAGTAAAGCCGGCAGAGATTGCTAAGCAACGGGCATTATCACCATGGATATACTACCTCTATAAGAAATGCCAACTGTTTAATTTCCAAATACAATCCAGTTGTAGTCAAATATACACTTTGCTTTGTGTGTACTCAAGAGGGTAATACCTTTTTTGTGATTTAATTAAGCTGTGTGTGTTCATAATACAAGTCACAGTACACCACTGTATAAAGTTTTAAATGCAACTTAGGGAACAATGGCACACAAATGGGAACGTGTGACAGTTGACATTAAAATGATAAGTGACGGACTGGACAAGAAACTGAAATCTTCCAGAGTAAAGATGATTAGAGGCTGAGCGGCTCTGATGTGGAGAAGCTGTAATCCCAGAAAACGTTTCTCAGAGGATGTGAGGGAAATATTTATTCAGAAACATTAAATGCCTTCATATTGTCTGCTTCTCTCTCTCTCCTTCTCCCCTTTTGCTCTCACTATTCTTACTACTAATATAATGCTTTTAGTCTTTTAGCCCAGCATGCATGTTGTGAAAGGCAGTGGAAAACCATCACAGTACTGACGCACAAACCCAAACACATTCACCCCTCCTGGCCTTGAATTCAACATTTGTATTTCACCTTAACTGCATGTGTTTGGAGTGTGGAAACAAACTGGAGCATCCATGCAAACCAGGGCTGCACAATTAATCGAAATACAATCGAAATCGCAATATGGCCAAGTGCAATATCCAAATCACAGGAGCTGCAATTTTTTTTTGATACAGGTAAAATGTGTCACTACATTAGTGTGCATTGTTAGCCCCATAAGCACTGTGGTGCTACAGAGACGGCCCGGCCTACAGATCATATTCTCCAGACGTACCAAAACATGTCAACATTTTTGTTTGGTAAAAGACCGACAAAAATCGCATCATCATCATTCAAATGACTGAATGCCTGCTGCCAACTAGCGGCCGGAGGCTTAAATAAACACAAGACCGCGTCACAAAACCACTGTCACCATGTAAACTACTGTAAACATTGGCTATTTAGCAATAGCAAAATTTATAGTAGCTCCTTTAAACAAATGTTAAACACAGTCTTGTTCCAGCTTCTCAAATGTGAGGATTTACTGCTTCAGTTTTATTTTATGGAATGAGGATATTTCACTAATATGTAACATTTTATAAAGAAAATGATTAATTAATCAATTGATGAAGTAACTGACAGATTAACTGATAATGAAAAGCCTTAGTTATTATTATTTTACTAGTTACAATAATGATCAGGTAGTAGCATGAAAGAGTCATCCTATAACCTTCTGTATAGCAAAGTGCTATCAGGCTCTATGTAGAAAGTGGGAGACTGGAATATGGTTCAGAGAAGCCAAAAAAATGTGGAGCAGTATTTCATTAGTGTATTATGTAGTGCAGTATTTTACATAAACTGTAGTTAATTGACTTAGCAGAAGACACTTTTTATGTAAAAGAAATATGGGAACTATAGATGAATACAATTACTGAGGACAAGATATGGGAAGAGTTATGTGCTGGTTGCCATAAAGGCATCGATAGTCATTCCTACACAGAACTAGAAATTGAAAAGTAGGTTATTTAGAAGCCCAGCAATTGTGTCAATGCTTGATAAAGGCTCCTCAATAGCTCTATGCTGGAGGAAGTGCGGAATGGTAGTGGGTCGTTCTCATATTTTATGGGATTCTGCCAGAACATAAAAGAGGAGGTCAAACAAATCATGAATATTGATATCCCACTAGGTTCAGTGTATTTCATACTGAGGGGAGTTCCTGAAAAGGTAAACAACAAAGACTAAAGGTATGTCTCAAAGATTCTTTTAATGGTTGATAAACTGGATGAAAGTACTCGCACCGAGCATAGCTCAGTGGACTCAAAGGCTAAAACAAGAAACAAACAGCTGAGGTTTGAATGTGCCCTCAAACAAGTAAGTAAGACTAAATGGATTAAAATGGAGACTTATCTCAGTATATGATACAAAAGCACCAAGGCAAACAAATGCAAGTGAAGAAATAAAGAATGCAAAAATGACAGGTCATTAGTCAAATGTCAGTCTGAAGTAGCAAATTAGCTCTAATGACCTTCATCCACCAGAGGGGTAACACAGTAAGATACTTTAACGTTTCCAAATCACAGCACATTGTGCTTTAGTGTGAATTCATCTCTGCTGCTCCACTGTTTGTTTAGCGAGAGAAGGCAAACAGAAATCAGAACGTTCCCTGCACCGAACGGACCCATGACTTTGCTCCAATGACTTTATGTGGGCGAGTTATGAAAACGAATATAATAAGTCCTGATTTCATCTTCTGTGTTCCACTAAAGCTCTCTTTTCTGATTGCTTTTCTAAAAGGCCCTAAATCAGATTTGAACGCTTGACTGAGATGATGACATTCTGGGCTGGAGAGCAAAAGTGTATATGTGTGTATGTGTGTGTGTTTCTGTGTGTGTCTGTGAATACATGTGAGGGTTTTTACATGTGCATAAATACATTTGTTTGTTTGTTTTGTCTGAAAGTCTCTTCTGGGCATTTTTAGCTGGTTTTGAAGGATTTTTTTCACCAGTCGTGTAATAGTTTGGACAGCAGCTTTTTGAAGTATTGTCATTAAGACAGATTTCTACAGACCGTAAGAATGACTGCATGCTTCACTAAATCGCACTGTAGGAGTGAGTCACTCTCTGACATGACTGTCGTGGCATGTGTGTGTCAACTTTACTCAAACTTTTAGTTTATGGAGAGATTCTGAACTGTAACCCAAACCTTTACCTCTCCTTCACACGCTTATTCTGTCTCACACAATATCACACACTGTTTCACTCTCTCTTGATCTCTCTCTCTCTTGATCTCTCTCTCTCTCTCTCTCTCTCTCTCTCTGGGTCTCTTTCCCCACCTCCCCCCTTTAAAACAACATCCTCCCTCTTCCACAGGACGTACGTTGAGTTTAAAGTGTGGATGAGCTTCAGATTGAAACCCTCTGGGCTCAGTCCAGATATCAGCCGCTCTCTGCAGTTATATAACAAACCTCAACGAGGACATACGCTGTCTGAAACCCTAATCTAAACAGATAATATAGATAACATATTGGAAGGTGAAGTGAAAGACCAAATCTGTTAGTCATGCTTATCAGACTCTATTTGCACAGGACTAGTATTACATGAGGCCCACAGTAATTCATAGAATACCCCTCAGACTCTGTTTAATAAAACCTTTTCCACAGGATAATGAAATTGGCAGGAAATACCAGTTTTCCATGTTACAATTACTGCATTTAAAGCCAGGATTTCCCCATTTGCTTATTGATTTTGCAAGACCTTCCTCTATAGACTCCACTAGATTAAATAAAAGAGAAAAAAACTCACAGAGAATTAGTGGGACTGTTTTTCACCAACACTAGGTTGGGGATAGATGGAGCTATAGCTTCCAACAAACCCACCAAAGAAATCACCTGGATGTTTGATAAACCTGTCTGATTCCTGTGGTTCTGCTGTAATGTCCAGTTCATCTGGTCCAAAAACACCTCCCGCTGCCACAGCAAATTTAAATCCGCTGGAAACTGTGTGATAAAAACGCCTCATTACATTATCATGTGACATCAGTATGACGGGAGCAAAGAAGGAAGTCAGGTGATGCTATTACGGGGCGACAAAGTCTGAGTAGGCAGGAGGTCGCGGTGGATCGGAGACAAAACAGACACAGGAACATGCTGTTCGTTTCCTGTTTCCCAACAAGAGTCAACACTGGGTTTTTTTTTTTTTGTTTGTTTTTTTGTTTGTTTTAGAAATCATTTGTTCCTTAACATGAACCATGTGTTTATTATTGTCAGACGATGAAGCTCCCTTGACCTTAACAAAGTGCTTTTGAAACCTAACTTTTCTCACAGCGCGGTCACATCATAAAAACGGATTATTTATTTGCTGTTGTGGAAGGCACAGACAAATGATGTCATCCCGCCAGCAGAGGCTAGAGACTAAAGATACTGCCACAGTAATAGAAGATTAAATGGTTGGTTTATCATCACCAAAATGTGGAAGTAGAATCATTAGCTGACTATTCATTCTGTCGCCTTGCTGATCAATAATAATCTTTTATTAATCTTCGACTCAATCAGCGTGCTTTTATTTCTGTGCCTTTGTTTGCAGAAAATCCACAACAATGCAGCTCTCTGTAGGGATTTTCTATTGTCCCTTAAATGTTTGTCCAGATGTGAGCTGAGTTTCACAAAGTTCACAGTTAACTGGGTGTCTAGTATTTTGAATCATCTGAAGTGTTTTTAGAAGGCATTACACTGAATTGCCTCGTGTCTGCACCTAGCCTTGTTTATTCGTGTATTTACAACAAATGCTACAGCCTCATCAATAAATAATTAAGCAAGCCCCAGTCTATGGATGTAGACAATTTACAATATACTCTGACTTTGCTTTACAAATCATTTAATGGAGCATT